GAATAGCAACGTACACAAAAAAATATTAAGATAGTAATATTCTAAAATAATATTCAGAAAATAATATTCCTATAATAACATTCGAAGACTGAAATATTCAAAGATTATTAGTAGTACTTGAACACCCATACATTATTCGACTAATAAATTACTCGAATAGTCCTAGTGGTTAACAACTTGTGTTTCTTGGTTCGAACGTATAATACGTACGCGTTGGAAGCAATTTATCGATACTTATCCAGACGCAGAGCTTTACGCGAACGTAAAATTTATGGTAATCGATGGTGAACGTTGAAAAAGAATGAACTTACCTTGAGATAGGACCCATAATACTTGGTGACGTATGGGCTGTCGCATTGGGACAGCACCATGATTTCCTGCTGTATATCTTCGATCTCATCCTCCGCCTCTTCGAGATCGATGATCTTGATGGCAACAACTTGCTGGGTCCTATTGTCGACGCCCTTGAACACCTCGCCGAAACTACCCTTCCCAATTCGTTCTTGTTTCGTGAATATCAGCTCGGGGTCCACCTTCTGCAACAACAACAGAAATTCGTGTCTTAGATTATGAATAATTCAAACGAATATTTTCTATTTCAAACAGATTTTTATATGATGTTTGAATGGTGTTATGTTACTTTGTATATAAATGTACAAAATTACATAATAATTGTAATTTACCACAATTTCGACGAGATTTTTATAGACACTTTCAATGGTAATTATACTATTACACTATTCATAGATCTTGCTTGTCTTCAAGATTACGAATGTTGATTTACACTTTTGCAACTTGCAAATCTGTCTGTTAATGATATAAATATGTTGGATGTAGATAGTCATCTCGTTTATGTTAATCAGAATGAAGGTTCCACGTGTTTCAAATGAATGAATTTAGTTTTTCTTTTCTTTTTTGTAAGCAAAGACTAATAAAATTATTATTGTACTTATAAATGTACTCTTTGATCATATAATAGTTAACAATAAGTTAAAAATTAACATATTTAAAAATTGACAAATATAAATTACGCTCGTCTTATCGGTTATCTCTGACAATTAATAATAACTTCAATAAAAATTAATTTAACACGAACCAAAATTATTATTTAGAGCTCTCTGTACCGAAAGATGATTGTGCTATCGTTCGTAAATAAACAAGAAACTTTTAGCAAAGTTGTTTCCCTTAATCATACGTCGGACATCGTCGGAGGGAAAGGGGGCGGTTTCATTGAAATTTTGCGGGTTGCGCGGGTTTTTGGCAAATTTCGCGGAGACCAGGGACCGCAATAGTGAAAGTTCCGACGGACTTTACGGAGGCCTGAGTTCGCGATTGCGGTAGTTTTAACAAATTTCGTAACGACTAACCGTATACCGCGTTTTGGCAAACTTCGTCGCGAAGACCCACGACGACTGCAGCGGCGAGGCTTTTAGCAAAGTAGACGATGCATTTTGCTGATAGCTGCCGTCGCGATATGATAGCATTTTTGGATTATGCACGAAACACGTTTCGACTTTGCGTGTTTAATCTTTTTTCTCTCTTGGATATCCACTATGAGGAGACATCGTAAGTCTCGCAAATTTGTTTGATAATTACGCAAGATAAATTTACGAGAGTGTACATTTTTGAAAAATGTTTCCATCAAGTTTTTCATTCAAACGACACGAAGAAGTAAATTTAAATGTAATATATAGACTGCGCAATTATTTATTTTATTCTGCAAATATTATATATATTTCTGCAAATATAACGTGGACTTTACTTTCAATCTTTGTTATATTTTTGCATATTGTTTGCATTTTGTAGTTTCTTGCACATTCAAATTTCTTATAAATGTATAAAGATCCGCAGTCTAGTGATATATTGCGTGTATAAATTAATTCCGTGTATTTCTAAGGTAAACTTGCGATTTAATTATAAAGGAAAGGCACGAAACTTTTAATTTACCCTCGGCTACACATTCCGAGCGAGTACATGCTTGTAAAATCAAATGTCGAAGCAATCTGAGCCAGCATAATTAATGATTTTTTAATTAAAAACTACTATGGAAGGAAGTAAAAAAATACAAACCGTCTTTCTCATATTTACTAAAATGTAAATTTAAGTTAAAATGCTTAAATAAAATTATGGAAAGTCCTATATAATTTCATTTACGCAAATTGTTCATTACATATAACGACCCTAACGAAGCCACCCGATTCTGTTTTAGATCTGTATTATTTTTAAGCAAAGTTTCTTCAGCTGTTTTGAATTAATTTTTGTCAGGGTTAGAATTGGAATTCTTAGTCAGAGTTAAAATTCTTCGTCCAAGACGCTCTGGCCAAGCCCTAACTCTATAAATGGGGACAGAACCCCAAGTTTAGAGCGTACTCCTAATTTGTACAACGCCTACGAGCCTAATGTCGTTGCGTGTGGGCTTACGATGCGTCAATTGCCATTGAGAGCAGTACGACCGGACTGTTCCTTAGAGAAAGTTGGCTACCAAGTACGGCTGAAACATTTTCCAGCTCCAGATATTGCTCCATGCAATTATTATTTATTTTTTCGTTACAGAATTTTCTTCATGGTAAAAGATGACACGATTAATAAATGACATAAAAATACTTTTGCGATGATATTTTATTAACAACCCACAACATTTTTTGGAAAGATGGCATTATGCTGCTTTCGGAGAGAGGAAGGAAGGCAATACAGCAAAATGAATCATATAAAACTCGGTAATGTAACAAAACGTAAAATATTGTGTATATATACAGGGTGTTCGTTGCAATGATCCGCGCGATTTTTCAAGAATTTTCGATTATTACATGAAAGCATGTTTGAAACAAAAAACAGTTTTCAGTCACCTACAAATTCCAACGTGAAAGATTTCTAAGTAAACATTTTTTTATAAAAATTTAAGATCACTTCATGTTTCTCAATTGAAAGGCACGTCAAGGTATAGCACAATGGTTATTAAACTCACCTTTTTACCAGCTACGATGTAACATAGCTAAAATCATACAGTGCCATGTAACTTTGACTTTTAATAGAAACGTTTGTTTGGAAATTTGTTTAATTGAAATTTGTAGCCGATTGAAAACTAATTAACTTAGTATAGTACAATTGTCATTGAATTAGTCTTTTTAACAGTTACAACGTAACATATTTAAAATCGTACAGTCCCATGTAACTCTGACTTTTAATAGAAAGTTTGTTTGGAAATTTTTTGCTTTAAACATTTGCAAACCGTTACAATGAACACACTGTATATTACTTACTAATAAAACGAAAGAAACTTTTGAAACAGTTTTGAATTGTTTCCAAAAAATAAATAAATTGAAACAATAAATTGAGAAGTTAAAGGACGAAAGCACGAAATGAAATTGAAGTCCCATTCCGTTGTATTGTCATAAGAGGCAGTCTATATATTGATAAAATGCAAAACGTGGCGAGATGCGTCACCTGCTCAGGCAAATTCGAGTCGCCTCGGGATAAAACCGATCGACGCGTCATCCTCGAAAGGATCCAAGAGTCGCGACAAAATCTGCGACGATATCCGCAACAAAACTTTCTTCAACTGCGCGTCCTTCGGAGGTTAATAAATGCAGTTATGCCGGCCAGAAATGTAGTTCTCCTTGGCTCCTTTCTAAACGATGACACGTGACATCACAACGGATAGCAAAGAAAAGTGTGTAATCGCGATCTATTGATTGATTACGCGAGTTTTCTTGATTAGGCTAGATGCAATTGCCAGCTGCCAGTCTTGCGACGATTGCGTAATCATAGTAACGATGCTGACAGCGATCTGCACTTCGAATGGAAACGCTATTGTTTCTCACGTTCTATCGTTCCTCATTGAAGGATATGAATGAAGTAAAATGAAATTGAATGGGATCGAATGAAACAAAAATATTATGGAAAGGAGATAGAATCGAAACAGGTTCGCTGCCATTGTTTAGTTGAAAAATTACCCACCACAACTCGGGACATTTTTAGACTAATTTTTGTCATGCAATGCTAATTAATTGTTTACAGGTAAAGTATATTTACCATGTAAGATGTATCGAATATTCCAAATAACAATAAGGACGTAGAATGATTACCAAGAAAGAAAATTTTATAAGTTTCGTAGCCATTAAAGTATTTATTAAGTTAAATGTGATTAGGATTATAGTAGACTATTATAATAGTGTTTTTCATGCGATACATGCTCTTAATTGTTTGCAGATAAAATGTATTTAACATACAAGATGCATTGGATATTCTGTATAACAATAAGGAGTTGGAATGTCCACCAGGAAAAAGAATTCTATAGGTATCGTAGCTACCATTTATCAAGTTAAACGTGTTTGGCATTATAGTAACCAAAACAGCAATTTTGGAAGTTTAGGATAATAAGATGTGTAAAGAAACATCTACAGAAGAAACACAAAGAATTAAATAATATTTATAAAACTTAAAAAAAAATTCATTCTGACTTCTATTTTCTCACGAAACTGAAACTCTTCCTCACTGGTCAACGTTTCTATTTTAATTAAACGATTGCAATCGTAGGCATTCTGCAAACCTTGACAATAATCATTACCAAGATAAAATAATGATGCTGAAGTATCGCTGGGAAAAATGTATTTCAGCCTCAGAAGATTATATCGAAAAATAAAAATATATACAAAAAGTTAGAGTAGTTCATTGAATTGTAAAATTAAGTGTATGTGAACATTATAAATAGTTTTAATATTAAAACTACTTACCAGACAAATAGACATAATGTTTAGTAACATTGCGACAGATCAGTGTATTTAAACTCAATTGTCTTCGGCTTGTTCACATGTAGGAATTTCATATAGTATGCTAGGTTTAAATTAACATTTCCAACAACTAAAAAGTTTCAATTGTTACGCCAAAAATTTGTTACACCACCCTTGTACTGCAATACAAACATCAGCTTTAATTCATTATTCACTTCTAAGGGTTACGATACGACATGTCTCGATGCAGTTCCCAGTCAGACAAAGATCTCTTCGATGATAAAATAATTAACCAATAATTAATAATTGCGATGTCAAAAGAAACTCGCGGTTCGTCGTACAAAACTCTAAAAGCACGGGAGTATTGTCAATATGTCGCGAAAAAATCATCGTGGCGTTAAAACGCTTTAAAACGTCATCGTCAAAGGCACGAGGAATTTTGCAAAGCAGATTTTCCGCATTTTCATCGCGCGGCTTTCTCTCTGATCCTACGTTCTCCTCTTTATTTACGATCTGCTCGCTTTCTGATACAAACCTTTTATCTACGCGTCACAAAAGCGCCAGATCTACGAGAACGCGAGAGGATTCTAAAAAAGTTAAAGGGGGAACAAAATCGCGCTGACGTGCGTCTGTTTATCGTCGCTTTCATCTCTCGGACCGACAAAATTTCTTTCGCGTTTCACGTGACGTGGAATTCCGCGACAAATCCACGGAATTGAATGCCCATGTCCCTTCAGGGTATGTTATTTCAGGATTCTTATAATTCCAGGTCATACGTTGTCCGCCAGAGAAATCCACTTAAAACC